GGGGCCAAATCTGGCGTCTCGAACTCCTCATCCGATACAGAAGCCATCGAAAAGTTCTCTGGCCCGTCGGAGGCGTCGGTCGCCCTCGAGGCGGCGCTCGGGGCAGCAGCCCTCGAGGCCGAGGGTCTGCCTGGCGCGGCCTTGCTAGGCGCACGCAGGGCCATGAACCCGAAGTGCTCCTCGCAAACCTCCGCTGAGGTCTGGGGGCTCTCCAGAGTCGCGGCCGCGCGCTCGCGCTCGGGGCTGGTTTGGGCCAAAGCAGCAGCGGTCCCCATGCAACCCCTGCACGTGTGTTCCTCTTCATGGCCAGACAGCAAGCAACAGTGACCATCGCAATCCTTTCCCTCACAAGAACATGCCCTGCGACACTTCGAGGAGTGAGGGGAGAAGGAAGAGCAAAAGGAAACCTTGCCCGAATGCGACATATTGCTACTATAAGTATGATGATGGATGGTGGATGATAAGGCAATGGCTCCTGTAGGCGCGAACTGATGATCGTCGCCTTCCTCGCGTAACTGAAGCTCTCGCTCTCCAGTGAACGCTGCAAAGCCCGTCCTGGGTTTGCCCTTGCACTCAGGGTCCCCGGACCAGTGGCCAATCTCATGGCAGGTCTTGCACTTGGAACGTTTCTTGATCTCCTGGAGTCGCTTTTTACGATCTTCCAGGGTCGGTGCTCCCTTGCCACCGCCCTTGGGCGGCAGTGTTCCAAGGTGTTGAGTTTTTGTGACCTTTGCCTTTGCTTCTACCTTTACGACCTCCCTTGGTGCCTAGGTTGGCGACCAAGTTCTCTTGGATTACTTCGGAAGCTTCGTCCTCCGTGTAGCCCGCTTTGGCCATCTCGTCAAACACGTCTCCATCGAGCTCGCTCTCCTCCTGCACGGGTGACCAGAGAGCGTGCGATTCCTCGTCGCCCCAAGTTTGGTCCTCCGTCTGCCCGTCTGCCATCCAGGCTATGTCGGTCCAGGTCGTGTCGTCCCAGCCGTACTCTGGAGTGTAGCCAGACGCGTAGTATCCATAGGGACTAAGCTCCTCTGGATAGTGCTCCCCCTGCTCGTACCAACCGTCGTCGGTGGCGTGGAAGGCCTTGGGCGGCCTGCTGTACCGATTCTTGCCCTTGCCCTTGCTCCTGCTAGGGTAGCCGGGCCGATACTGTGTCCACGACGAGGGGTTGGAGCCCTTACTCGACGGGTCTCCACCTTTGCCCTTTTGGCGGATGTGGATACGGCCGTGCTGGAGGATCAAGACATCCTTGATCTGGTCAAAAATGGTCATGTTACCTGTGGATGTCAGCACCATCCGGTTTTCCGAGGGTGAAAGCCCTGCATGGTCCAAGAGGAGGGATCCAAGCATGTCGTCACTCAGCACAAGCTTCGGGTCCAACTTGGTGACGAGTTTCCACCAACGCTTCCTGCGGGAAATGTATGATACCATCGATTCACCGTTCTGCCTGGACAGAGGGCCGTAGGGCCTCTGACCTACCTGGAACAGGATCTTGGCTTCCTGAGCCTCTATAGGGAAGAGTGAAGCACGAACCGCCGTTATCAGCTGGTCGATTCCTTTGGGAGTCAGAAGCGCGTCCTTACCGACATCCATGGCCATATCGAACGCGTCGCCTCTGAGGCCTTCTACAACTTTGTTGACGGCTGCAGTGACAACATGTGCCTGGGGTTCTCCTGTCTCTGCATCTACAGCAGACAAAGCAGCACTCATACGCATCTCTGTGCGGAACTCCCATTCGTGAAAGTTGTTCACGGTGCCATCATAGATGTAGGAGCCACCGTTCGTCTCCGACTGAGTCAACGCGTCGGCGTTCGACCGATAGCGAAGGGAAGACAGCGCCATGGCGGCAAGGAAGCAATCCCCTTGTAAGGGTGGATGCCCAATGCAAAGAAAAGGTGAGGAGCTCTCCTCGCGAGAGGACCAGCCCTGCGCAGTGGTACGATGCCGAAGATCGTGTAGCAGCTCCGCTACCAGTGTGATTGATGATACGTTTTCAAGCCAAGGCAAAAGGGGCCCCTAAGAGCCAAGCGGCGGCGAGTGGCGTACGAGCGTGTCACACACACACACACACACTATATATCACATCTTTCCTCCATTCGTTCTCCTTCTAAGCCTCTCCTCCCTGTCGCACCACCGGACGTGTCCGCAAGCTAGGAAGGCGTTCCGCGTGAGACTTCCCCGCCAATCATGTTCCTGAAACTTGAAGGGTGCAACAACTTCTAGGATGGAACCCAAGTCGTCTCGAAAATTGTGCTCTCGCTTCAGCGGCGCGCGCACTCGCCTCAAGCAGTTGCTGCAGTTTTTCAAGGATGGAGGCCAGCTCGGCTTCAAGATGCGGCTCTCGCCTTAGCGCCGCGCACCTTCGTCGTAAACAACAATGCAGCAACTTTAAGGATGGTGGCCAGTTCGTTTCAACATGTGGATCTCGCCTTAGCGCCTAGCCCTCCTACGCAACAAATGCGATACGGTGCACATCCACCCGACACAACCCTGGCCATCCGATGCAGCAGATATAAATCGGTTCGCATCCATGCGACCTACCCCTCACATTTCTAAATTTCATAAGCCATAATTCGGTGCACATCCATCCAACCTAACCCCAGCATCCTGCGCAGAAGATGCTCATCGGAGTACTTCCATGCGATCCAACTGTCACACCATCCGAAGTTGAGCGTGCAATTCACTGCGCACCCATCCGACCCAACCCTCACATCCCGGTGCAACAAATACATGTCGGTGCACATCCATCCGGCCCAAACCTCACCATCCTAGGTGACAGACAAGATTCGGTGCATCTGCTGATCTTCGCGTTCAAAACCAGAAAAGACGATACATGGATACCAAATACATAATACACCGATGCGTTTCGGGCACTCCTTGCGGCCTCCAACTTTGGATTTATGCGCTCCCTAGGCTGTCCCAGGCGCTCCCAGACGCTTTAACAGCCCCCAAACGATCCCAGGCGCAACAATCCCTCCCCAAGCGCTCTCAAGCTGGCCGTCGCCACCGGCAGCAACATAATCCACATCCTCGTCTTCGTCGTCCTCGTCGATGCTGGAAGCCTCAAAAAGAAGATACATCCAGATCGCGTTGACGCGTGGAACGCAAACGGTTTTCAAACTGAGGCTACCGCTGAGCTTGCGCCGCACACCATCGTGCTACACAACTGGAGAACAAATGGAGGGCGGTCCGTTTTCAAAAAGGTGTTATCGTCGTGGCGCCGTGCGTGGTCGGTTTGCACATAATCCTTTGCTGCGAGAGTGAATGGCGAGTCCTTACCAAGATGGTGGGGGCATTGGAATCCAGATCTGGAGTCCAGGGTCTGGAAGCTGGTGGAACTACAATCGTGGATCGATCATAGATATGACCGCCACCCTCATCAGATAAGAAGTCCTCCAAGCTCTGTAACCTCCTGGGCACATTTCTGAACCAACACCCCACCGTATTGGGGTGTCGCCTTGGCCTCGCGAACATTCGATCGAATGCAAAGTCCACCATCTACGCTCACGTGACCCTTCCTCGACCTCTACGAGCTGGCGTTCCATATTGTGCAGCAACTATCATAGATGGAGGGCGACCCCTCTTTCGAAACGGAGCTCTCGCGTGAGACTTCCGCAAAACATATGTGCATGACTATGACATCCTGGAACGCTTCGACGGATGGAAGACATGTTCTTCTCAAAATGAAGCCATCCCTGGGCCTCCGTGAAGGGCTCAGGCGTGGGACTTCCGCGGAGCGTACGTCCACGACTTTGACATCCTGGAACGGTTAGACGGATGGAGGGCAAGTGCTTCTCAAAAGGGGCTACCCTTGGTCCTTCAAGTGGCGGATCGATGCTTTACAACAAGCGCCCTCGTCTGACTGGCGGACCGACCGGCCGCTCGCCCTGGATGGACTTACGAGGCGGGGACTCGAGACGGGAGGATGTACTGCAACATCGGGTGATGCATCTTGGGTTGTACTCTCCTCCACTTCCTCGTCCTCCTCCTCCGCCTCCTCCTCCCTCCTCCTCCTACTCCTCCTCCTCCTCATCCCCCTCCTTCCCCTCCTCCTCCTCGTCCTCCCCCTCCTCATCGCCCTCCCCAGACGTGTGGGTGGGGCGGGCCGGGCGTTTCGGCTGATAAGTCGTCCCCACCATTTACGATCCTGAAGTTTGAATTTTGCAATAACTTCACGGGTGGAGGGCTGGTCGTTTTCAAAATGTCGTGCTGGCCTCAGCGCTGTGCACACTTTCTTGTTTTTACCAATGTGCAACAGTTTCACAAATGGATGGCGGTTCCTTTTCAACATGTGGCTCTCGCCTCAGCGCCGCGCAGATTCTTTTGAAACATTTGCAACAATCTTGACGACGGAGGGCGGTTCTTCTTCAAACTGTGGTTCTGGGTTTAGCGCCGCGCACATTCGTTTTTAAAGTATACGACCTTTTCAACTATTCGTATGGTTGAAGTCCCAAGAATGGTGTTCTGGCACGGTTTAAGATCGTCAAGACGCAACCGTCACTTGGATTCGCGGTGTGGAATTCCCCGGAATGGTGTTCGGGTGTGATTCCAAATTGTCAGGGCGCAACAATCATGTTGATCCACCACGTTGGAGACCCAAGAACGGTGTTTCGTCACGATTAAAGATTCTCATACGGGTGTCTTCCAATGGGCCACCTCCCGCAATGAAGCTCAACTCTTGTACATACCTATGAAGAGGGAAGTTGGAGGGAGGGTCTGCTGCAGCATTCTTGATGCGTCCTGGGCATGTACTGGTCCTTCTTCCCCTCCTCCTCCTCCCCCTCGCCTTCCTCCTCCTCCTCCTCCATCCTCGTCCTCCTCCTCCTCCTCCCCCTCCTCCTTCTCCTCCTCCTCCTCCTCCTCCTCCATCCTCGTCCTCCTCGTCCTCCTCCTCCTCCTCCTCCTCCTCCTCCTCCTCCTCCTCCTCCTCCTCCTCCTCCTCCTCCTCCTCCCCCTCCCCCTCCCCCTCCCCCCGCCCCCCCCCCCGCCCGCAGGCGTGCCTACGGCCTCAACCTGCCGCTCCTGCTCCGTGCCGCGCAGCTGCAGGCTGGAGTGGGCCTGCCTGCTGCGGCGGCTCTCCTCCCTCAAGCGGTCCTCGCGGGGCATGGCACACCCAAGCGCCCCCCTTTTCCTCCTCCTCCTCCTCCTCCTCCTCCTCCCTCCTCCTCCCTCCTCCTCCTCCTCCTCCTCCTCCTCCTCCTCCTCTTCCTCCTCCTCTTCCTCCTCCTCCTCCTCCTCCTTCTCCTCCTCCTCCTCTTCCTCCTCCTCCTCCTGGCGCGCACTCGTGGTCCCAAGATCCGCACACCTGCCAGGACGCTTGCCTGGGGCGAGCGGTCGAACATATCTGCCACGACGCTTCCCTTAGAGAACTGATATTTCACAAAGGAACGGATTATGTGTGTGATCAGCGTAGGCGATCCATTCCAGCTCCCGCCCCACTGGAAGTCCCCTGACACCCTGATGAAGGGCTTCCGCATCTCGCTGATGGCCAAGCTCGTGGACTCCTGCCGGGGCCACGAGGACGTCGCTACCGTGCTCAAGAAGAACTCGCGAAACCTCAACGACCTCGTCGTATGGTTATCGCGCGCCTTCTACGACGGGGAGCTGCACTCCGACCTCACCGACGCTGACTCGCTACTCGCAGTCGGCATTCCTTGGACCTGGCGGCCCCTTCTCCAGCTACAGATGGGCCTCCCCAGTGCCCTCTCAGATTCTGAGTCGGACTCGACGCTGCTTCCCACCCTGCGGATGACCTCCGCGCCGCAGGACGCGCCACTCATCCTCTTCCTCGGGGCGGCCACCGATGCCACGGCCCTACCCCACGCCGCGGCCCTTCGGTTACACACGCGGGGTTCGGCGAGGCCGCTGCGCCACTCCCCACGGGCATGCTGGTCGTGCGCGTCCCAGGGGACGAGTACACCTCGCCACAGGGCAGCAAAGGCAACTGCTACCAGACCAATATGGCGGTCGGCATCGCGCACCGCGTCGCCCACCGCCTTGGTGCACGCGGCCAGTCCCTCGGATTCGCAATCCCCTACAAAGACGTGGCGCTGCCCATCCGCAGCGGGTCCTCCTTCCCGCCGTTCCTCCGGAACAGTCGCGAAGGTTCTGACCATGTCGACGACATTGTGCTGGACGCCACACGCCGCAACCTGAGCCACAACTCCCGACCCCAGCAGGCGCGCCCTGACGGCATCACTGGCCCCGACGCTCGACTACATGATCGGCGCCACGGCGACATGGCCGGGCCGCGAGAAGGACGTCATCATCATTTGCCTCACTAAGTCGAACTCTCACATGCCCAGGGGCCACATGGACGAGGCTGAGCGCATGTACGTGCACTAGTCTCGCACTAATTGCTGCATGATTTTTTACCACCGACATCGGGATGAATCAAGCCGCCTCCGACTTCCGCTTGCCGGACCTCGTCGAGGAAGCAGCGCGAGCCAACCTGGTCTGCCAGTTCGGCTTCCTTAGCAGCCTGATCCAGCGCTCAAGCGTGCCTAGCGACCTCATCCCTGCCGAAGGTGTTGCCAGGTCCGCCACCCTTGTGCTCGGCCCCACGCATCCCGCAATGGCTGAGCGCGCCTCAGGCTGACTCCCGCCGCTGGGGCCGACCCATCGCGGCCCCCAACCTGTCGGCCAGCATCGACTGGGACGACCCATGCCTGAGCATGCCCAATGATGCGCTTGATAAGCTCGCTTCCAATCAGGGCCTCGGCTCTGTCCCACTTTGTCACTATCCACGACCGCAAATACAACCCTGCATCTTGCCTCACCCGCGTGCGCGAATGGGACCTCGAGAGCCACGGACACAAGGGGCTCCTCCGCGACCCGTCCTGCGGCATCGACCCCTTCCCCCTTTCCCTCGCTTTTCAAACGTGGGCCACTCGGTCTCTCCGCCGGCGACGGGGGCGACCTCGCTCGGATCCCAAGCAAGCAAATCATGGCGCGGACTCTCCCACTTGCTGGCTTCGGCTCCGTCGCTCCCTCGACGAAGCGCGTCCGCCTCCGTCTTTCAGACCGCTGCCGGCCGCGCTGGCTCACAGACGACACCCTCGCGTGTCGTTGCCATCCGGTTTCCACGCCCGACCAGCTGGAGCTCGCCATGTTGCGCCCGCTGGGCCAGCGGGGGACCCTGGGGACCACCGCCTTTCATGCGACCATCAAGGACACCGACCGGCTCTTTACCACCCTGCGCATCTACCGCTCGCAGGACAGGTACACGCCCGCCACAACGGACGCGCGTCCGACTGCGGCGACCTCTTCGACGCCCTCATGAATTTCTTTGCTCCCGCGAGCGCGCTGGTCCGCATTTCGTCGGCACTCTATGGGGAACGCCTGTGCTGGACCGAGGACTTGGCATGGTGCGCGAAGGCCGGAAACTGGGCGCCCAGGGCTAACTGTACAGTCTCCAGAATCACCGTGCGCAGCGCCGATATTGTATACGGCGAAAACCAACGAGGCACATGTGGCCTCGTAGAGGGCGCGCACGCTCGACTGGCCACGCAAGCCAGTCTCCCATGCGTGGGATTACGGACCGCTGCCCTCCAACGCCCTCGGCATGCCCAGGTCGCAACCCGGCGCGTGCACCACGCGATATATGCCCACGTTGACCACGCAGAAGCACTAACTGGAATTGCATACAGAAGCTCTTCAGCTGAAAGGTTGAGCCAGCAACAATTGGCGGGGGCCGACAGAAGGCCTACGAATGCCGAAGTTCGCCGCGCCACAGCCGAAGCGCCGCGTGACGCTCCCTGACGTCCCTCCGTTCGAACGCCGCAAGCGCGGCGTCTCATCGTTTGTTGCTGCGCGCGCCGGTGGCCGCCGCAGCCGCAGTGGCGCCCGCGCGGTGCGCGTGCGCCCTCGCTGAAGGGATGAGTAACTGCAAGGGGCCGGCGATTACGCTGCGCCCTTATTTTTTTGGAAGCCATCTGCAAGGCTTGGAAAAACGCGGCATGCCGAGTGTCTCCGGCCTTAGCCATTTAGGCCCCCAGTTCCGTCCAGTCCGCGCAATCCAGGTCTGGAAGCGAAAGGCAGCAGGCGCTCCCATGTCACCTTGGCGGCCTGGAGGCCCTGGCGAGGCTGCCCCCGGCGCCTCAGATTCGACCCCCCCTGCGGGGCGTTACCTGCGCGCCCTCCTCGTCGACCTCGGCGGCGCAGCTCCCGCCGCAGTTGGGCCGGCGCGGAACGCCTCCCCCTGGATGTTCACGGACCGCGCAGGCACGTCCCGTGCCTGCGCCCCCCTGTTGGGCCCCGCGGCTGGCAGGCTCCTTCGCCCGCCGATCGCCCCGGACACGCGAATCCACCTCGCGCGCCACTCCTGTCAGTGGGGCGAATGGACATGCTGATGCGGCCCCGAGGTAGCTGCGGCACGGAATTCGGGTAGTGGGCTTCCGCGAAGTTTGGCAGGGTCGTGGCGGGCGCTGAAGGGCGCATCTACCTCGGCGGGGCCCACTCGGCGCTATGGCTGCGCCGGGACTGTGACCGCGACGCGTCCGCTAACCACGACGAGAAACCTGGCGCTGCGTTGGCCCCCGACACTGGAGGCCCCCGCGCCGCGGTGCCGTCGAAGTCCCGAGGCTGGTCTCAGCTCCCGCGGCTGGCCGTCGGCTGAGCTCCTCGCCGCCCCGCTGGGCTTGGCGGTCGTGAACCCCCCCGCGAAGCTTTCGCCAGTTGCTGGCTTCCATGCAGGGCGAGGAAAGACCTCGAGGATGCGGCGTTCCGTTCCGCTCCAGAATTCTCTTCGACAACCGGCTCGGCTCGGCGTCGGCGACGGCGCCGCCGGCTTCTCCTGCGACGTCCGCACCATCGATGTCCAGAAGCTCCTACTTCAATCCGTGGACGGGCTCGGCGGCCCTCTGGGGTCGTCTGTCTTCCGCGCCGCCACCGATCGCGGACTCGCGCTCGTGGGCGGCCTGGCCCGCTGGCACGCAAGACCTCGCGCAGCCTGGAAGTCCTGCCTCCATGCCATGAGCTGGGCGCGCGCCTGTTTGCCCCGATTTCTTTGGGTCGACGCCGAAGAGGGTTTGTTTTTTTCTCAACTCGTGCGCGTCCGAAATCGCTCCGCGGCGCCACTGACGGCTGCCCCGCCTACTCGCGCGCCGCCACCCCGCGCTGGTCCCGCCCTGGCCCAGGCGGCCGCGGCTTCCAGCCCCTGGGCCAGGTGGCGCCGTCCTCCCAGCGCAGACGGCACGAGAAACCCGATCGTTGCCGCCGCGCTGCTCCAGTCTCGCCCCCTGCCGGGAGCCCTCCTTCCAAGCGGGTGGCCCTCTCGGGCCACCCCCTTCGCATTAGCTCCAACCAGCGTCGGGCGCTCCCGAGCGAGGGCGGCGACCGACCTCGTTGTCCTAGTAGGCGTGCCGCGGATGCCCTGGGCGCCGCCGCCCGCGCCAGCTCCCCGGGCCCCCGCGCGTCGGCTCCTGCCCGCCGCCGGCAGCAGCCGAACCCGCCGCCGCAGCCTCGCAGGTAATCGTTGCCGCGGCCATTCGCGCGGCCGCTGCGACTGCCTGCGCGGCCGCCGCGGCCGTCGCCCAGGTTGTCAGAGGGGGCGTTCCGAGCTCTCACGGGATGCTGCCCCCGCCCGCGTAGTCGCCGGAACCTCGGCTGCAACCGCCGGCCGCGGCAGCTGACGGGCCGCTGGCGCCCGACGTCATGGCCGCTGCTGCCGATGCCGTCGCGGTCGAGGCTGGATGGCTGCTCGCCAAACGCCGAGCCCTGCGCGGCAGGCAGTCGACAGCCAGACCTGCCAGACCCCGTCCGAGCTGCGCCGCGCTTGCAAAATGGACGGCAACCCTCCGCTCTAAACTGACAGACGCGGGGACTGGAGGCGCCCTTTGTGGGGCGATGCCTAGGCGCGATATCCTGCTGGGGCGGCTGTCGACGGCCGCCATGTACGAGGCTGTCGCGATTTCCGCTTTGTTCGGCGAGCAGGTGCAGCGATGGGCCGCCTTCGTCAGCGGCCCCCGTTCTCAATCCCATGTGCCTCTCAGGCGCTCTCCCGACGACCTGTCCGGGTTCCTCGAGGCGGCCCGCGGCGCCCTCGGTCCCTGGGCTCTGACATTCCCGCGCCGGGCCCCCCGCCCCCCCACGTGGCGGCCTGGTCCGCGCGCTCGGGAGATCCGCGCTTGCGCGGAGAAGCTCTCCAAACTCCGGCGGGATGTCCCCTGCGCCGAGCAGAGCTGGGCCGCTTTTCTCACCGGTGCCCATCACTACTCAGACAACGACGTCTGGCTCGTCCCCGTCGCTCTCGCGCGTGATTTCATCCGCGCTGTCGACGGCGCGCGCGTCGCGCCCCAGAGGCGCCAGGAGGGCCCCAGGCAATTGCTCGGTGCAGAAGTGGGTTGCCGCTGCCCCCCCGACGCCGGGTTTCGGGCTGCGACTCTGCGCGGGCGGCCCGCTGCCGCGCGGGGCGGCCCCCTTCGACCTCTACCGCCGCTGGAGGGCGCCGGCGCAGCCGCGCAAGCAGGCGCCCCGTCGGGCGCCGCATTCGACCCGGCCGACGCGAAGGACAGCCGCAACCCCGACCGCGGGGCCCCACCGCCGCAGGGCGGCTCCAGCTACGCCTCGCGGCCCTGGGGCTGGCGCAGTTTCCCCGGGACCGCGGCGCCCAGCTTTTCTACGGCTGCTCGCGACTATCCCGCCGCCTCGTGGTCATCCTGCCGGTGCCCCAGATGGTCCGAGGGCGCGCGCCCCGTGGCGTCGCGAGAGAGCCGCCCCCGCGCTGGCGGCTGGAAAACTGCCTGGTCTGCGCGCCCCCGACGCAGCGGGGCCAGCGGGGCCCGGTAGCAGCTCTGCGCCGGCATTCGATCCCTGGGCCGCGGGGCCGCCCGAGCCGTTCTCCGTTGACCTTGCTCCCAACGGGCAGAACGTCCCCGACGCCGTGCTCGCCCATTGCATCGAGACTTCTCGGCGGTCCGGCGCGGCGGCCGCGGAGGCTTGAACTCGGCGTGGTGCGACTCCACGAGAACGAATTACATCCCCGCGCTCTGCCGCAACAGGAACTCCGATTCATTCCTGGACTGAGCCCGTCTCTCCGAGGGCGTCGAAGTCTTCAGAACCCCACGCGCGGCTCAGCCCTCCGCCCGCCCCGCCGGCGGCCTAGGCGCCTTCGGGTCGCGACTTCCCGCGCCGCGGCCCCTCGCGGCGTCGGGTAGAGCCGGCGCGGCCCTCGAGGTGGGCCCATGGCCAGGGTCCTTAGTCGTGCGGCTGGCAATCTTCCCGCGCGCTTTCCTGGCCCCCCCCGTCGCGGCTATGGCGCGAACCCTCTTCACCTCGTCGCGCAGCATGTCCACCGCCTAAGGCGATGCCCCCGTCGCGGC